GTCGACTGTTAAATCAGTCATCGACGATTTTAATAGTCGACGTAATCGTGACTAGTCGACTAATCATGGCAGCCCTAATATCCACCATCCCTGACTAAACTAAGTTAGCCTTACCTTCCTCACTCTTTCTCTCCTACTGCTTATACCCAAACTGATTTCAACATTCTGTCTCTGTCTGTTGGTCATTGACAAAGGAGCATTACCAAAGCCCCTTTGAGTCAAACAAATTCTGCAGGCCCTGCCACACACAGCAAAGTTTTTAGTTGTGTAAATATTTAAAGTTGAAAGTCTCATTTTCTTAAAACTGGGTAGTTTGTTTCTTATTTGATGATCATTTCAGGTATCTAGACTCTTTTACTGAATAAACAGTGAACCAATTCAGCAGTAAATGTCATGACTGCTTAACATTACTACTCATGTGCGAAAATGGCGCTGGTGTTCTTTTGTCATCTGATTTATTATTGCAAAAATGTCAGTCTTGAAATACAAATAACAATCAAAAATACTGCTACCACAACATTCAGTATATGTTGCAATGCATAAGCAAAAATGTTCAATTTCATTACACGGTCAAAGCAACAGTACGAGAATAATGGGACAGACACCCTGAGCCAGGGTGTCCTGCACACACAGCGACTTGGTATTATAATTTTGTTACTTGGCTCAAGGGGCCCACGCTGCAAACCACAAACTGCAGGTAAGCAGTGCAATTTCAGGAGTGTTCCTCTCCTGAATATGAAGTGCATTCACAAGCCCAAATATCAAGTTTTCTGAGCTGGATGAATAATGAGCTCACCTCAAAGTAGAAGTCAAAATGAGGTAGCCTGGAAATACAGCATTATAGTAGCTGGTGACAACACTTTTCTCCAGTGTACATGCATGTGTGTATGTTTCTATCTTTACCTGCAGGTCCTTCATGTCCTTCTCCAGACGCAGTCTCTCAGAAGTTTCTGTCTCCAGCAACTGGGAGGCAGATTCCCCAGTGTTGCGCTCATCAGCCAGCTCTGCTGACAGCTCTGTGATCTGAAGATTAAGTGTGAATATTGACAAATCTTGTATTAATGTATAGCTTGGAAGAACTCTCAAAAATTGTGAGGTTTTATTTTAGGGTCAGTTTGTGATTGTAAAATTTGTTGTTAGGAGCTTATAGACAGGGTATCATCTGGGACCCGATAAGTAAAACATGAGAACTAATTAACTAAAGAAAGAATTTATATTTCAGTTGTCATTTGTCTTTATGTCATAGCAGGATGATATAAGAACAACAAGGCCAAATGTTAAGAAAAGACAAAGGAAGAACCATGCCGAACAGCTCAAAAGTCTGGGTCACTTAAAAATGTGACTTCTGTTTTCACTGAGCAGAAATGGATCATAACCCTGTTAAAACACAGTTAACAATTATCATCATCGCTCATCATAAATCATTGAAATGATATTCAGTAGTTAAATCTATATCTCTGCAGGGATGCAGATGACCAATGTTAGCAAACATCACTCCAGATTAGCTGTCTGCTGACACTTGAGCAATATGCTAACAATTTTAAATGTGTTAATCCCAAATTTAAAGAATTCTATTGATTAT